CTAGTCCAAATCACACACAGTAGTCATTATTTTTGGATAAGCTGCTCTGTGTGCTTGCATCTCCAGCACTTGTCTTAGATGCAAGCATATTATATAGCACACTATAAAAGCTGCTACATAATCCTGTCATGTTGGACCTTCAGTGAAGTGATATAAGCTGTTACAAGTGCATTCCCAAGAGACCTACTGTCTCTGTGAGGAAGGGCAGATTGTTTATGCAACAACTACAGGCACCTGTCATGTAATGACGGGTTGTAATGATGTGAATGTCAGTTAGTCAAAATTTTCATCCACTCTGCTGCAAACTGGAAAAAAAACTGCTGACTCATATTTTTCAAAACTCACTACACAAATAGCATAGTCATCATGACTCGGGCAATTTTGAAGCTTCTATCTCGCCAAGCCTTTCATAACACCTTCAGCTCTTTCACAACACAGACAGAGCAAAGGACTTAAGTGTGGGGTATTGAACTAGAGACCATACATCCATCTGTTGAATAACAAACTTCTTTAGCCTGCCAAACATCAAAAAATCTATCACATGTTCTGTAGCTATTTTCGGCACTGCCTTTTCTCACATTTTTAGCACTTAAAAAGCTAAAATTTAAATTTACTGCATTGATTATTTAAGAAAATAATGTCACATGTTAGCTATGTAGTATGTTACATATGGAATTATCCAACAGCTTATTGTTTAGTCTGAAAGTCAGTGCAAGACATGCATGACTGTCTATCAGTCACTGCAGGCTTCTAGTCAGCGTATGGCAAAAACAGAAATGACCACAGTCCCTACAGTATATTTCCTGTCTGCCTCAAAAAATCATCTCTAGATAAAACCAGACACTGTGTTTGTGTAAAATTCAGACTGAAGTATCGGAAGGTGTTTTCCCTGAAGCATGTTTTTCCAAACAGGACCCCATACTTTCCCCCCCCCAGTCTGTGAGTCAGTCAGCTGACACAAGGCAGCAAGAATCTGGTCAGGGGTTTCGTCCTGTCTAGACTGAGCAGAATGTAACTAGAGATGGAATCGCAGTGGAAAACAAAAGCAGAGCCTCTGCAGTGAAGTTCTATACTGCTACTCTGTGGTGCAGAGTATGTATGGCACTCTTATATATGACTATTGTACTCTGTAGATGCATTTACATAATATTAAGATATTCAAAATAAATTATTAATTTATTCTTATTATCATTTAATTTAGAATTTATTATTATTTCTTTCAGCATAACAATAAGTGAAAAGCTGAATTGAACATTTCAGTCGATCTTCAGGGTTTAGCATGCCCCATTTTCTTTCATTTCACTTTATATTTACATTTCTTTAAAAGTATTATTACTATTATTATTATTTTACAATAAAAAAAAGTATGAAAAAAATTATTTCCAGGTTTAAATAAGAAGATTTTGAATCGCAGATTTTCAATGTGGTCTCAGACACTTGGACTCCTTTTTATGAATATGGAAAACTATGTATATATTTTACATGCTGTGGTGTGACAACCTTTGCATTTTTTAAATTCCAAAAATAATAATTTTTATATTTTCCATTTAAGGTCCTTTTTTTTTTTTAACAATACAGGACTGTTGTAACCATCTTGAGGTTAATCCAAAGCAAAAAGGGCATTTGAAACGGTCATGTGATTAAATTATATATATATATATA